ATAGTAAAGCATTACATGCCCTATTCATAGATGTGTCTGCTGAAGAGTTTAGGAGAGTTTCGATGTGTGAGACTGCTAAAGAAGTTTGAGACATTTTAGAAACCACACACGAGGGAACTAAAACGGTTAAAAATTCTAAATTGCAGATGTTAACCACTAGGTTTGAAGAAATAGAATGAAGGACGATGAATCCTTCAATGAATTCTATGCGAAGCTGAATGACATAGTTAATTCGAACTTTAACCTAGGTGAAAGGATTCCCGAGTCCAAGATAGTTAGAAAAATCCTTAAATCCCTACTTGAAAGGTTTAGACCTAAAGTCACCGCTATTGAAGAAAGTGAGGACTTAGTTGCAGTCACCGTTTCTCAATCTAAAAATGTTAAATCTATAGCCATGAACACTATTAGAGAAGAAGATAGCGAGTCTTCTAATGCTGAGACACTTAGGGACGACGAAATAGTTTATTTCGTTAAAAAATTTCAGAAAGTGTTGAGGAATAGGAGAAAACCTCAAGAACGGAAAAATGAATTCCCAGTAAATTCGTGAAAGATTATCGTGAAGAGAGTGACTCTAGGGCTGTCAATAAGAAAACCAAATCTGTTAGATGCCATGAGTGTCAGGGTTACGGTCATTATAGGAATAAATGTCCTAATTTGAAAAAAAGTTCAAATAAATGTAGACGTAAAGCTTTAGTAGTGACCTTGAGTGATGATGAATCAGATTATAGTGCTTAGAGTGATACTTCTGGTGGTGAAGATGATCAAAAGTTCATGACCTTCACTTCTATAGCTACTATAGAATCTGATAGGGAAATTGAGAAGATTGAAACTGATGAACATAATGAAAAATCCGAGGAAGAATCCGAGGAAGAACTTGATATTTACGAATCTTATCGTGAATTATTTGAGAAAAGTCTTAAGATTAAAAATGTCAATAAATCTGTACTGAAAAATGTTAATGATCTTGAAAAAGAGAGAGAAAAACTTATTGGTGACCTTCAGGACTCTACCAATAATCTAAGTGAGTTGAAGCTTGTTAGCAATTTGGAAGCCACTATTAAATCTTTAACAAGCGATCTTGAAAAATCAAATACTCAACTCCAATCATTCATCAGTGGTTTGCAGATATTTGATAATATGTTGGGGATGAACAAGCCTTCTGGAGATAGGCATGGTTTAGGTTACGTTCATAATGGTAATCCTA